GAAAGCTGGGGATTTATGACACAGAGGGTCTGTTTGGTTGTTCTCCTATAAATATAGGAAAACTATTTCAAGGTAATTCCCATGGCTTTTTCAAGTTTTCTTAGAAAACAAGTTTTTTATTTCTTAAGTTCGGGATGAAACGGAAAAGTTGGGAATACATCAAATTAATAGAAGACTTATTTGTAATTATTGTATATATATTATTTTAAATTCCACTCATCAAATCCTCACCCACTTTATGCCCATTTTAATGTTGAAAACTACTTTTCCAACCCATTTCCATGCTTAAAACTTGGACATGGGTTTCCCTGCTTTGTGGAAAATATTGATGGTTTTAGGAATATCAAGATTCTATTTTTTTAGCACGACCAAACAATAGAAATGGAAAGGAAATAAAAAATCCTTTTCTTGCATGGGGTTGAAACCTTTTCAAAGTTTTATGCTCCGTCCCAACAGCCCCAAAATGGAAAGTGGTCATCCACAGAAGCATTTTCTGATTAAGCTTACCCTTGTGTGGCTCGGGTTCCATTACACTTTTTGACAAAATTTTCAATTTCCACTACTATCATATCCTTTTGGATGGATTTTTTGAAGAGTTAATGAATGCCATATCAGCATTTTCCTTTGTTTTAAAGATGCAACCGAACAACGAAAATTTGGAGAAGTCAATTGTGGACCCTAAAATTTGGCAAAGCTCCAAATTTTCCACCCAAAATATATGCAACCAAACAGCTCCTATTCAACCTGTTTGCTCTGTCTTGAAAACAGGAAACCACTGAAAAAGAGATTGACACGCACATCCTAAAAGAGTTTTCTCCATGTAGTTTTTGTTTCCAATGCTTGGTTCATCAAAGAAAAAGGCAAACAGAGGCTCCTTTTTTCTTAAAACCAAAAAACCCATTTCCAAGCTTAGAACTCGGAAATGAGCTGGAGAACTAGGGAATTCTGACAAGGCAATTACTTTTCTTGGAATTACTTCTCCAATAAACTATAAGTTGAACGAGGGCAAAGGTTGGGTACTTCCTGAATTGCTTCTTACAACGATGAAGTTCCTTTATTTAACCTCATTATGATGAGGAAGTGCATTAATAACGATGACATCATAACCTATGCCAAGCTAACAAGTCTAAGTTCACGATATTTACTGAATCATAAAACTAAGATTGATTTTCCCACTTCAGATAATACCACATATAGTCTCTATGTGCATAAACAGTGAGACTAATAGGTTTCTGATAGAGCTGTCCCTGCAGTTGGATGAAAATAAGATAATGATACATGCCTGGAGGAATGCCAATATATAGCTCGCCATCTACGTTGAGAGGGTGAACTATAGCTTCTTCCAGCACATCTTGAAATTTCTTTCCTGATGCATGCTGTTTCAAATGAACAAAAAGTATCAAAACACAGAGTAATCAGCAATACTATAACGAATCATGAAAATTTAAAATATTAGGCACTCAAAGTTATTCTTCGAAGGCATGAGCAGGGTTTGGTAGATGCAATGGTACATGAAACCATCATGGCAAATACTATTCCAGATGTGCCAAAGTATATTGATATGTAGTCAATATGACAGTAACAGGCAGCCATAAATCCTGGATTGCTGCCACTGCCTGGTGAAGAAAAATAAGCTTACTTCTATGATTCCACCGCAAAGCCAACCAAAAGATAAGTAATGATATAATTGCTGGGAGCCAGGTTCTGTATCGGGAGTTAAACTAGCAATGTGCTGTAGAGCTTTTTCCCAGTCGCATAGTAACAATGGATTACTCTTGAAAACATCACCCATTGCATTTTGCATACCAGATGTATGATTGAGGACATGGTGGACCTAAGAAAGAGGGGGAAATAGTCATAGCAAACTATTTTTGATATTTAAAGTAGGCTAAACTGGTAGAAAGAGAGAAAACTAAGATTTTTGGATACCTTAATACAATCTTTTCCATTGGTTCCAAACTCGGGCCAAACATTAGCGATAGTTTCCTCAAACTTGAGTTTCCTGCAAGAACATTCAGCCCAGAAAGTATGCGATAAGCTTATGGAAAGATGAGCACATAAGTCCTCTACCCAAATTTGATTGAGAAACTATCATATTAAAAATTAGTCAGACAAAAGGTGAATTGTTTTATCTTCTACTGCCCATACAATGTGTGAATAACTTGCAGTATATTATGAATGGCGAACTTCATTGTAGTAAAGGGTATTCACACCATATGCTTGTCAACTGCAGCAAACAAATACTGGCACGTCCAATAAAACAAGTAATGTTATAAATTCCTGCAGTTACACTTTAACATCCACCTTATTAGCTTCACATGTTGTTATTCTCTAACTCTTTTGACCAACTAATGAGCAAGAAACACCAAAAAGGCTAAATTCTTGGTTCAAACACACCTACACAAACATGCCTAAGGTGTCAACAGCCAAAGCAATACATGTGGACATACTACCTTGATGATGTCAAGATATTAAATGACGTAATTACATAGTACAGTACCTTACCCCTTATCAACGAGCCAATGTACCATTCCTGCAGTGATCCCTTTAGTTACAGAAAAAACTGGAAATAAGGTATCAGACTGAACAGGCCGAGGATCATATCTCCCTAGCACACCAGCAGAAGTATCTATGATGACCTTTCCATCTTTGTATGCACACACCTAGCATAAAGAAAGCTAATTATGAGTGAGTAAAAGCATCCAAGTATAGATGTAATATGTCGTAACTAATTTGACACTTTCTGGAAAATGTTTGTTCTAGCTGAAACAGTTATTTGATACATACCATCTTGGAAATTTAATTCTAAAGACTGATTCATATAATAGTGATATAAGAAGTTAGTCGTCTTTATCTGAATGAATCTTAATTCTGTTTACCATTTTTATCTTTACAATTTGTCTAGCACCATGTTTATCTTTACAAATATGTCTAACCAAGGGATTAGTGGGCTAGCTAGCTGGTCTTGTTAATACGTGAATTGAAGGTAATCAAAGGTAAATTTATGAAACTTGTTACTGTACAATATTCTTACAAACAATCAATGAAAGGAACAAAAACGTTCATTCAATAGGAGGACAAAGCACTAGCATTTTAGCATATGGATAACACTTGATTCACGAGTAAAAAATATATAAGAAAAAAAACCATAACGTTAAAACATCTTTTTTGATAGGAGCGAAAAGAATATAACCAAATTGACTAGCATTTTAGCAGTACATAGGTCTTTCTAAAAAAAATCGCTAGTCACCTGTATTCCAAGAATTTTCACATTTCCAATCTCAACTAGCAGCTGCCTCAGCTTTGCCTCCACATCAGAGTGAACTGGTGTGTCATAAATCCACTGTGAATTCACCTCTTGTCCAGACCTCAAGCTTCTGATTTAAGTGGGAAAGAAGACAAAGGTCTAAGAGCAAGGAACATATTAAAGATAAACCAACTTTAGATGAACCCAATGACTTCAAGCGAAGCTAATCTGCAAGCAAAGACTGACCCTAGCAAAGCAGACTCAGCAAATGGCCTCATGATGTCCAAGTAAACTATTCGAACATTCATCGTAGATGAAAGCCCTGAAAAGGACAAGGATCATGCCGATATATAATCATTCCCTTTATGTTACATATTCTGAGGAAAATAGAAGTCTAAAACAAACCTCGAAGGAGATTTAGTACCCTCATGAATATTACAGCATCACCTGGGAATGCATCAACCTGGAAAGCCAGTTATGTGCAAAATCCGAGATAGAATGGGACAACATAAGACAAAATACTACATATTTGTACTTACAGGATTAAAGCGTCGAACTTCTTTTTTATTTAGATTCATCTTCTCTTGCATGGCCTTCAAACTCTTCTCCCTCTGATCTGCCAAAGATTTCACAGTTTCCTACAAGGAAAGGTACAAACTGTTAGCTTTGTAATATTGATTGATAAAATGTGAACAACCATCTCAAAAATGAGAGCAAATATTAAGATCAGAAATAGGTTGCAAGCATACGTACAAACGCTTCAGTTGCTGGTGTGGAGTTGCGGAAGAACACAGCTGTAACATCCATAGCCTGCTCTGGCATGTCAACGCGCAACTTGAGTCCCATCTCTTCAAAGGCAGACAAAAGAGCAACATGGTTTCCCTGCCATACCATGTACAGTGTAAAAAAACTTGCAACCTGCAAAAGTTCATGGCCCTAGAAACTTCTTTTTGTTTCTCACTTTTTTTCCAATGCAATAGAAACTTGAAGATACTTAATTGTGTATTCTACAGAAAATAATACTGAATAAAATAATACCAGGGTACATCCAAGTGTTATATGATAGCCTCATAGCGTGATCGTCCTAGATGATCTAAAACTTCACATTTCTCTTACCAGGACATAGTGCAACATAGATGAACAAAACCTTCATATTTCATTCCCACTAAGGGCATAATACATTGTTCATGCCCACACCATAAAGTAAAAGAGAATAAAGATCATTGCCTCATAAGCTATAAGTTTGCTAGAAGAGCCATCAAGGCACCTAGGATTTGATGGAAAGCTTTAAAGTCAATACAACCAGCGGTTCCCAAAGCTACCCTTTCCTAAGCCAGAAGAGTTCTTTATTTCATTTTCATGTAGGCAGCAGTAACTTTACAAATGATTTATTTACAACCAGTTTCATCAACATAAAGGTAAATGCCCATCAAGGATAAAGTTCTAAGGTTGATTTTACAATTTTCCTCTTTGGAATGAATTGACTTTTATTATCTTCGTTACACCATGCATGCCGACATATGTACACATTTGGGGTGCGGTTAAACACATAAACATATGAGCCTGCATGCAAGCATGCACATACAGAGCGATATATAAAGAGGGAGGGAGATCAGACCTCAGCACAAGCCAGGAACATTTTTGCAAGAGCTTGTTTCATGGAGCTTGATATAGACTTTGTAAGCCCAAAGTCCAGTAAAATCGGGCGAAATGGGGGTTCCTTGCTTACAAGAAAATTTCCTGCATGAGAAATACAGCACATGTGGATCCATAAGTGTATGCCATCATGTCCAACTATAGGACTGACTAATGCAAGGTAATACTACATCATTTGTCTTCCCAAAGAATGGCCGAAGGCAAACATACCAGGATGAGGATCACCATTGAAAAATCCATCAACATATATTTGATGAGCATATGCGCGTGTTATTTCTTCAACAACCTTTTGCTTGTCAATGCCGTATGCATCTAATGATTCAGCATCATTTAAACGAATGCCATCCATATATTGCAAAATGAGGACTTTCTCTGTTGACTGCATGTGAAAACATACATGTACAGGACATCAAGAATTAGAAAAGGAGATAATTGTGTGCTTTCTTATACACAGTTTAAAGTTGCCGTGTTACACCTGGATAACTTCTGGAATCAGTACATCAAGACTATTTAAATGATTTTTGCTTTCATGCACACTTTTGCAGCTGAGGTTTTGGGAAACCTTTCTTGTATTCTCTACAATAAGGAAGCTCATCATCAACTATAGCAATCATGAGTCGTATAAATGTAAAGAGCCTCAAATTAGATTCGTCTATTATGCCAGCATTGGGGAAACTAGGCAATAATTGACCTGTCCATCCTGAAATGTTCTTTTTTTCAATTAAAAAAACCTGAATATTTCTGTAGTCCACTAATAAGCATACCTGCTTCATGATTAAAATCAAGTTCTTTGGGTGACTCTTTGCACCATTCATCTATCATTGGGCTAAAGTCATATTGAGGCTCTGCCCATGCTATCCAGTCAACTATAGATTTTGCATTCTTCAAATCCTGCAGATTAACATCAATCAGGTAATGCAAACTGGTCATTGGTTGATTGGAATTATGTCAAAATAATCAGATGAGGGACCTCTAGTATGACTTCTTTGATACCATCGTGTTGAACCTTAACAACAACTTCCCGTCCATCCTTCAGGGTTGCACGATGGACCTGTGCTATCTGCACCATCACAACATTTAAAAAACATCTTAAAACTTTTTGAGGTTATTTAGTGATTATGTAAATTCATGAAATATATCATTTTGTATCAATATCCATATGGCGATGAAAACTTACAGATGCTGTTGCAAGAGGCGTTTCAACAAATTCGAAGAAAAGATCACTGATCGATTTTCCCAACTCTCTCTTTATAGTTTGTTGAACCTGTGCAGACAGAAAGGTCTTACTTCCAATAAAAAAGAAGGCATTCTGTTTCTACCAACATACCAAATCCGATCTCGGTCTATCTAAAGCCTGCAGAAATCCGTGGAACTTTATTTGTAAATGAAATAGGTGTAACTGTAATTTCTAAACCATTTTTATTCCTTACGATCACGTGATTCAAGAGAAAGATTAAACGACCACTGTATTACACAATAAAGGACAAGGAAATAAACTAGGCATTCATACAGTTTGTTATGCAATGTTTAAAATGAGACCACAGGGCATAACCACAATTAGACACTAGTAACTAATAATTGGAAACCAACAGAAGGAGAACACCGATCTTAGATAACATTTCTCAGACAAATGTGCAAGTGCAGTTTCCTTGTATGAACATAACTAACCTCGTTCAACGGACGAGGAGGAAGAGAGTCCTGCAACTGCCTGAGGAGGATTATATATGCCTCAGGAAGCACATCAGCTCGAGTAGACAAATACTGGCCAAGTTTTACCCACAATCCTTCCAACTCTATTATTAGATTCAGTACACGTGTGGCATTTCTCTGGTGGGTTCTTTCCCATGTTATGTCCTCCTGGCTTTTGCTAAACCATTTCACTCTTTTCTGTACAGCCTGTGACCATGAAAGGGGCAAATGGTTTCCCATTCAACCAAGCAGATAAGTAACACAATGAGAGAAGAAAAAAAATTTGAAGAGAGGAGAATCAACCTTATAGTCCAGGTAAATAATCAAGGCGGCGGTGAATACTTTCAAGCGCCTTCTGTAAATGTTTGCCCATCCCATTAGAAGTCGAAAGTTGCCGGCTGTGAGCAGCAAGTAGTAAGTGGCAACACTAGTTCTAAACTGGAGTATGAATATACCACCCAAGCTCCTGTGACCCTGGTTAACCATAGTAAAAAATTTCCCTGTCAGTCTAAGAAAAAGAAGAAGCTCGGCAACAGGACTTATTGCGCACCATTTCCCTCATCTTCCAATAACCTACCTTAGAAAGCAACATATCGAGCAAGAATTTTAAATGTCAAGAGAGTCATGTGTATGGTAAATTCTTGATGGAAGCAAAAACTACGGACAAAATTTTTTTCCCCCTGGGCCCTAGATTATCACAACCCTTCCCGTTCATCCGAAAGGGGATTTCATTAACAAGAATAGTGAATGAGGCTCAAGGCAACGAGAATGGGACTCAAATAGCATATCAATAAGTCAAATAGTCATACAATATGCAAATTTTTCTCAACAAAACTACCACACAGAATCCAGTTCTATAACCAATGAGATGAATCATAACACCTCCTTGAACCATAAAAGCCAGTGATAATCGATCAAGCATGTCAACTCAACTTGCAACATTTTCAAGGTAAAGATTTACATGAAATTCTATATATATGCAGTGACGGCAAAAGAAACATCATTTCTTCAACAATAACCTTTCAATCTTTAAACGAACTCACGAAAAGGCTATTTTTTCCCCCTTCTTCCAAATATCTCGAAAATGTATCTTATTCAACATTATTACGAAAAAAAATAGGTATTCGAACGATAACTATTCATGCAGAGCGATTCTAAAATAAAACAATCGAACCCAGAAACGAGAGAAAGGACCTGACCTCAACAGCAGAACGCGAGCTCGGGATTCCCTCAAAATCTATTAAACAAAAGAAGAGCTTGTAGGGTTCAGATAATCCCGAACAATAAAAAATAAAAAATAAAAAATAAAAATGAGAGAACGATGAGTGTGACCGAGAATTTGGCAAGTTGCTGAAGACTAGAAAGCACGTGAGATCTTAACAAGGAAACGAGGATCGTCCGGGACCGTTAGAAGTGATCTGGACCGTTCGTTTGGCTGGCGACGGTTGTTCTTCTCCCGCGCGCTCCGCTTCTTTCTCTCTCTTTCTTTCTTTCTTTGTTTCCTTTTTTCTTTTTTTATGATTTTTTAAGGAACGGGAATCGAGAGAAGGAGTGGAGGGGGAGGAATGGAATCAGAAGTCTTAGTACTTCTCGAATGACACACGAAACTAGAAATTCTTATGATGGAATGAGTTTTATATATGGGACAAATTTTCAAAACCGACCACTTTGGGATTTTAATTGCAAAAAACGACTCATTTTAATCTTATTTATAAAAACCGACCCAGTTGGTTGAAACTGGGTCGGTTTTTAAAAAAAAAAATTCTCAAACTTCACGGGAGTTCAACTCCCGTGAAGTTTTGTTATGAGAAAAACTTCACGGGAGTTCAACTCCCGTGAAGTTTCCCAAAAAAAATTACAAAAACCGACCTGTTTTCAGCCCCTGGCTGAAAACAGGTCGGTTTTTGTAAATATTTTCAAAACCGGTCGTTTTTTGCAAATAAAAACCCCAAGGGGTCGGTTTTGAAAATTTGTCCACTACTAAATTATTAAAATATAAAGAATATATTGTAAATTTTGCTTTCTATATTTACACGCTCCAGCATTATTTCTTTCTGTAGTGTAAATATAAAGAATATATTGTAGTTTGATAAAATAAAAAAAGTTAATGATTGTTCAGTTCAAAAAGATTTCTAAGAGCAACTCCAATGGGGGACTGCATTTTGCAGTCCCCACTTTGGCATATTCTATGGAATATGCCATTTTAGAGTTTTACAACTCCAACCATACTCCTCCATTTCCAACTCTATTTTAATTTCTCTCAATTTTTTAATTCTTTTACTTATTTTAAAAATATATAATGTAATCATATATTTAAATTTCGATGTAATTCTAAGTTAATGTGTTTTATTTCAGTTTAAGCTCCAATGTATTATCATTTCTAATTACTTGTTTTGCAATTTTATATTTCGATATTAGTCTCATTTTGAAGGTATCGACGAGACATTTCCAATGATATTATTTTTATTAAAGGTGAAATATTTCACCTTTTAGTCTGAAAAGTTTTTTGTTTTTTGAAAAAACCAGTTGAAAAACGAAGACACGCATAAGTGAATCTAGATTCACTGCAGTGAATCCAGATTCAGTATGTGAGGTGTTTGTTTTTTACCATAAAAATCGTAATTTTTTGCTGTAAAAGGTAAAATATTTTCATTGTTTAAAATTTTATAGCTTGTTTTCTACCATAAATTTCTTATTCTTTTTGTTTAAAAATGTATAGCTTGTTTTTTTACCATAAGTTTCTTATTCTTCAATATAATCCAGATTCACTGGAGTGAATCCAGATTCACTGGAGTGAATCCAGATTCACTGGAGTGAATCAGCGAAAGCTTGGATGGTTAAGATGGTTTTTAATGAATTGTTGAAGAAATAAATGCATGTGCTGTAAGTTCGAAGAAATAAACGCATGAGTGAATCTAGATTCACTACAGTGAATCCAGATTCAGTTATGTGAGGTGTTTGTTTTTTACTATAGAAATCGTAACTTTTTGCTGTAAAATGTGAAATCTTATCATGGTTTAAAATTTTATAGCTTGTTTTTTACCATAAGTTTCTTATTCTTTTTTTTTATTTTTGCAGATTTTGCTATTGTTTGATAACGAGTTCAGTCCACTGAATCTGGATTCAATTCAGTGAATCTGGATTCACTCCAATGAATCGAGCTTCAATATAATCCAGATTCAATGGAGTGAATCCAGATTCACTCCAGCGAAAGCTTGGATGGTTAGGATGATTTTTAATGAATTGTTGCTGTGTTCTTCATGCGAAGATGGAAGATCAAAGCTTGATAGAAGATGGAAGTGAGTTACAGAGAGTATTAAAGGACGTGTTGTATTAAAGGACGTGCTGTAAAAGAGAGTATTAAAGGACGTGTTGGATTAATGTAGTGAATTGTTCCAATTAATGTAGTGAATTGTTTCCAATGTTGCCAGCCACCATTAATGTAGTGAATTGTTCCAATTTTACCCTTTTTTACAGCTGATGTGTATTAAATGTGTCTATATTTACAATTCTGCCATCGAAATGTAGGCCATTGGATTAGATAGATTGGAGTAAAAACATCATTAGCCTAAAAACTAAAAACCTCCTTCATCTAATGGCTAGGATTCAGTCAAACAGTCAACAGACACATGCATTAATTACCTCATTAAACACATGCATTAATTACATCAACGCAGTGAATCCGGATTCACCGCGTTGAATCTGGATTCACTGCGTTGATTCCGGATTCACTGCGTTGAGATAATTAATGAGGTAATTAATGCATGTGTCCGTTGACTGTTTGACTGAATCTCAACCATTGGATTCATTTAGATCCAATGGATGAATGAGGTTTTTAGTTTTTAGGCTAAGGAGGTTTTTATTAGAATCTCTCCCTATATATATATAGAGAGAGAGAGAAAGAGAGAGAAGTTTTCGGATGCGAAAAGAATTTCGCACAGCAACAGTGCGAAAAGGATCTTTGGCCGTTGGATTTACGTGAATAACAATGGCCATTGGATCTTTGTTTTCATCCCCAATTCCCAAGTCCCGTACCCTCATCCTCTCTCTCCCCCGTACCCTCCAGAAAAGGATCCCTCTCTAGAACCCAATCCATCCCTCTCCCTCCCCAGATCACTCTCATCTCTCCTCCATTGGGGATCGCCGTCGAGCTCCTCTCCGCCTTCATCCCTCCTCCGCGATGAGTTCGTCGAGCTCGCCAAACCCTCTACCCTCTCCCTCCGACCAACTACGACTACGACTCCGACTCTGACCTCATCCTCCGCTCCCTCTCATATCGCCGCCAGCTCGCCGCCAGTCTTCACCCTCGTCGGAGCCAAACCCGCGAGCCCCGTCGCCGCCAGTCTTCATATTAGTCGGAGCTAAGCCCGCGAGCCCCCACTTCGGGTCTGCCTCCACCGGTCTTCACCCCCGTCGGAGCCAAGCCCGCGAGCCCCGTCGCCGCCGGTCTTCACCCCCGTCGGAGCCAAGCCCGCGAGCCCCGTCGCCGCCGGTCTTCATAATAGTTTTATCGTCGTCGAGCTCCCCAACCCTCCTCTCCTCTTTGCTCCATTGGGAAGTTTTCGGCACTGAACAAGCTCCGGGTTGGACCTAAATTAGCTGTTTGATTAGTTGTGTTCTGTAATTCAAATTTTGTCCAAGTGAATAATCCATTCAACTCATCGATTTCTTTTCTGTAGAATTTGAGGCCTAACATACTAGCATTACCTTTTAGAAACATAATAGTATCTAAATATATGCAAACATGCAATATATATATTACTCATTTAATTCCTAAGAAAAGTCCATTTAATTCTAAATTGCTTGTTAATCAAGAGAAGCTGAGAAGGCACTGCAAATTACATTTCTATGCAAAAAATTCTGAGAAGAAATTTGGTTGTCCGCAAAAAGCCTATAAATATCCTAGCGAATGTCCAGGAAAGTTGTAATGACCGTAAATTTCTAATACGGGTTTAAGTAGTTTTCTGGTATTTAAACATTAAATATTATTTTTTTAAAAGAGTATTTGTATTTTCCTTAATTTCTCTAGAATTTTCTACGATTTAAAAATATGGTATTATATTATTTTAATGGTTTTGCTAGTTATAAATTTAATTATTTCGGTAAAACTTTTTAAATTAATAATTAATTATTGTTATTGTTATTATTATTTTGACCATAAATTTTTAATATTGATTTGAATACATTTTCTGGTATTCTAAATATTAAATTATTATTTTAAAAGGGTATTTTTCCATGTGTTTTTCCCCTCTCACCTGTAAATCACTCTATCTCTGGTAGTCTCTCTCTTTCCTCCCTACCCCATCCCCCTAAAACCCTCCCTAATTCACGCAAATCCCGACCTCGTGTCTCCCCCAACTCCTCAAAAATCTCCCACGCTCATCCTCCCTCAT